TAGACAGCCCCGCCAGCACACGGGCCCATGATCAGAGAAATCTGAGGGATGACTCCGGATGCTGTGACATTCCTCTATCAAAAGAGAAAGGCAAAGGCATCCTGTTACAGAGGTGTTCCAGGAATTATCTGCTGAAAGATAAAGGCAACAATAAAATAACATTTGACTTTTTCCCCACAGAAATTCTATCCTGGAGGCAAGAGAGCTAATCAGTAAAGTTCTTCCAAAATTATATGTGTAATTTCTCCCCATAACTGGTGGGATGGTTGGCATATTATTTTCTGGGGCAAATATCTTCTCTCCTCTCCCCTCCTTGGCAACAGTACCCCAAAACCTCCACTAGACATGAGCTACAGAAAGAGTCCCATCACCCTCACCCCAGCTCCAAACACCTTAGGCCCAGCTCATCCTCCTCCTCACCATCTGTACAAAGCTAGCTAGAAAAGGAATGAACCTGAGAGTGTACCCAGCCAACCCTTATCCTACAGCCCTGACCTCTATTTTGAGCCAATTCATATCCCCCACAGAGGACAACCAGCTGTTGCAAGGCAAGGCTAAGAGGCAGGTGCTACTTTCCACTGAGTCTTCAAAGTCTGCCCATTCCCAACATGGCATGTCAGGGAAAATGAAGTAGGAGGAGCTAGAAAATCTCCCTAAGGACAATGGTGTTGTGAAGGGCTAAGCTTCAGGCCACCTCCTGGGAAAAAACAAGATGTGGCGGCTCGAGGTCCCCGGCAAGGTGATAAGGGTCCAATTGTTCCTTGCCTTACCCCAACCCCTTTCCTTCTCCCGAGTCCCAGCAACTAAGGAAAAGTAGGTTCAGTTTTTGGCCTGCCTTGGCTCTAAGCCCAGTCTCTATAAACACTGGACACAGCTTAGGACAGCACACAAAGTCATCTATACTCTCTGCAAAAATATCAAGGTGAGCAGGCGATTTTCAGCTATGGCAGAATGAAGAGTCAGAAAATTCTCTCCCCAGGAAACAACTATAAAACTAGACAAAATTGCCAAACAGATATTTCACGGTCCTGGGAATAGGCAAATGTGAATAAATTGAAAAATCATTATGATTATAAAACTGCTAAACTTGAGATATGAACAATGAGAGTCTGTGGCATTCTTAACTAAGGTTCCTACCATTGCCCACAGCAGCTCACAATGTCCTTCAGGGTGAAAGAAAATAACACCAGACAGTAATTCAAATATACAAGAAGCAATTCAAAGCACTGAAAATGGTAAATATGAAATTAAATATAAAATACTGCATAAAAATAGTTGTCTCTCTTTTCTTAATACTTTAAAAGACAAAACTGTATAACAATAATTACAACACTGTATTTTGGTCTTACAAGATATATAACAATAATACCACAAACAAAAAGGAAGAAAAATGGAGCTATATTGGAGCAAAGTTCTTATAATTTACCAGAATTAAGTATTAATTTGAAGCAGACTGTGACAAATTAAGAAACATGTTGTAACTCTTAGAGCAACCATTAAGAAAATTACAAAAAATACAGTTCAAAAAAAAAGAAATCAAAAGTTAACTAAAAATATTTGTTTAACACAAAAGAGCTGAGTGACATCACAGAAGATGAAATAGGACGCTCCAGGAAACTGGAGCAGAAACAACTATTCAGCTGACAGGAACTGTCTGGAACTCTACAGTCTAGTCAAACACTTGCAGAGTACAAGAGAGAGTCTGATAAAGAAGCAGGTAAATTCCAGTCAATTTCCACATTTAGCACAGCTGCTACTACCCCCAACCCATAGCCCATGGCCCACAGCAGATAGCCATGAGGATGGCAGCCTCTGTTCTGGTGTGGCTAGCCAATGTGAGGATGAGCAACAAGAACCCTGTTCTGCAAAAATCAAGGTTGGGGGCCGGCCCGGTGGCGCACTGCTATAGTGCGCCGCTTGGGAAGTGTGGCGGCGCTC